CAGGTGGGTGTCCTCATAAATTGTCCTACACCAGGTGGGTGTCCTCTGCGTAGGATTCCTAGTCAAGTGCTTTGTCTTTCTCCTCCCTCGTTTTTCCTTCAAGCCACATTCCTTCTTTTCTGCTCCTAACGCCCTCCCGTACCTTCCTCCAATTCAGGCATGTGGTGCGCACACCTGATGGCGGCACCCTCGGCCTCGATTGGGCCGAACCCGAAGCAGCAGGTGAGGGGTGCAGGGGGGGTGCAGGGGGGCGACAATAGGTGCAGGAGGGTGATGGGGGGTGCAGGGTGGTGATGGAGGGTGCAGGGGGGTGATGGGGGCGCATGGGTTTGTGATAGTCAACTCCAAATCACTTCGTCAAAATCCGTTTAGACAACATTATCCTCCTCCCACCACACCCCACCCTCCTCCATGTCCGTCGTTTCACATTACCCACCTTTTCCCCGTCCCTCCCATTCTCCCGTTCGCCTCTGCCGTGATGCCTCGTGCCACCTGCATTCTCCTACAGATGGTGGGGGGAAGGGCGGGAAGGGTGCAGGGGCGGCCGGAATGGGGGGGAGCGGAGAGGCAAGGGTGGCAGGAGGGCGGGCGGAGCGGACGTCGCAGGTGCCGATTGTGATTGTGGTGCCGGGGCTTACCAGCCAGTCCAGTGACAAGGTGAGGGGTGGTGTGGGCTGGAGATGATGGGGATGATGGGGATATACATCTATGATTGTGGTTCCAGGGCTTACTAGCCAGTTCAGTCACAAGGGGGTGGGATGCGGTTAGGGTGGGATGCATTAGGGTGGGATGGGGTAGAGTGGGGTGAAGTGGGGTGAGGTGGAGTGGAGTGGGGTGGGGTGGGGTGGGGTGGGGTTGGTTGGGGTTGACAAGGATGATGGATATGTATATGTGATTGTGGTGCTGGGGCTTACCAGCCAATCCTGTGACAAGGTGAGGGGTGGTGTGGGTTGGGGTGCAGTGGTCTGGGGTGGGGATGGGGATGGGGATGGGGATGGGGATGGGGATGGGGATGGGGATGAGGATGGGGATGGGGATGGGGATGGGGATGGGGATGGGGATGGGGATGTGGATGGGGATGGGGATGGGGATGGGGATGAGGGTGGGGATGGGGATGAGGATGGGGATGGGGATGACAGTGTGGATGGGATAGGCATGGGGATGGGGATGGTGGTGGTGATGGTGATGGTGATGGTGATAAAATGTAATTCGAGCACAAAGCCGTGCTTCCCCCACCTCCCGTACACACCACCTGCTCTTGCCCTTCCCCCCTCCATCCGCTCTTGCCCTTCCCCCCTCCATCCGCTCTTGCCCTTCCCCCCTCCATCCGCTCTTGCCCTTCCCCCCTTCACCCGTTTTCCCTCCTCTCCCACCTCCAATTTTACCCACACCACCCTCCACCTCTCATTGCCCCTCTGCTCGCATCTGCGCAGCACACAGCACACAGCACTCTGTGTGACTTCTGTGGCTGTGGAGGTTGCATTGGCTCCCAATTCCTCCCCTCTCTCCCTCTGCTTCCCTCTGCTCCCTTCTTCCCCTCTGCTCCCCTCTGCTCCCTTCTTCCCCTCTGCTCCCCTCTGCTCCCTTCTTCCCCTCTGCTCCCTTCTTCCCCTCTGCTCCCTTCTTCCTCTCTGCTCCCTTCTTCCCTTCTGCTCCTCATTTCTCCCCTTTGCACCCGTTTAATCCCCTCTGCGCCCCTCGGGTTCCTGCTCCTCCCTCCCCTGCACTCCACCCCCCTGCACAGTACATGCGGCAGTGTGTGGCGGGCGTCACACGGCACGGGTGGCGAGCGCTGGTGCCTAACCATCGAGGCCTGGGGGGCGTCACCATCACTGTGCGTTGAAATCGCTTAACACTGTAACCACTGTAACCACTTCTTATAGTCATGAGATGACGCATAGTCCTCAGTGCTCACACGCCACTGTGCTTTCCGGTGCCCAACCATCGAGGGCTGGGAATGCGTTACCACCATCACTGTGAGTGAGCTCAAGCAACGCAGCACTTCTTAGTTGGTACGTAACCCCTACTCAGAATTCACCTTTTGAGGCGCCTCAAATTTTTGAGTTTTGAGGCGCCTCAATTTTTTTGAGTTTTGAGGCGCCTCAAAAGTCAACGCAGCACTGCTTAGTTAGTACGTAACCCCTACTCTGGATTCGCCTTAGAGAATTCTCAAGAGGGTGGCGAGCGCTGGTGCCCAACCATTGAGGCCTGAGTGACGTCACCATCACTGTGAGCTCATGCAACACCTTATTTACTGCTTACAGTCACGCTGGGTTACAGTCACACGATTCTTATATTGAATCAGCTGTGCCATTGATCCATCCACGTAGATCCATCCACATAGATCCATCCACATAGATCCATCCACATAGATCCATCCACATAGATCCATCCACATAGATCCATCCACATAGATCCATCCACATAGATCCATCCACATGAAGCAGCGTCGCGGAGCCAGCCCTCCCCTCTGCTGACTAGTTCGTGCAGTGCAGTGTAGTGCAGTGCAGTGCAGTGCAGTGCAGTGCAGTGCAGTGCAGTGTCGCCTCATTTCCCCTCCCCTACCCCCTTGCCACCCCTCCCGGCCCGGCCCGCTCCCCACAGCCTCCCGCTCCCCACAGCCTCCCGCTCCTGCACTTGAGCTGTTTCCGCAAGGCGGAGTGGACCACGGACCTGCGCTTTGTCACCTCTATATCTCCCTTCCCCGCCCCTGCCCCCACTCTCTCCCCGCCCTTTCCCCACCTACTCCCAGTCAAACCGCTTCTACAATGCGGGGTGGACCACGGACCTGCGCTTTGTCATCAGCCTTGTGCAACAAGATTACCCCTACGCGCCCCTCTATGCGATCGGCACGTCCCTTGGAGCCAACATCCTGGTGAGACTGCTTCAGGTGTAGTGGGCGGGTGGGAAGGTGGGAGGGGCTTATTCACTCACCGGCCTTGTGCAGCAGGACTACCCCCACCCCGCGCGCCCCTCCATGCCATCGGCACGTCGCTGGGAGCCAACATCCTGGTGAGTGAGGGAGTTTCACAGAATGACTTGAAGATAGATGGGCAGCCTTGAAGCATGCTGGTGTGGTGGAGGGGGGGGGAGGGTGCGGGCGACTCATCAGGCTTGTGCAGGAAGACTACCCGCTGGCGCCCCTCTATGCCATTGGCACGTCGCTGGGAGCCAAGAAGACTTGTGGTGAGGCATCGTGGAATGTGTTACTCTCATCCCCTCGACCTCCCATCCACCCACTCCTCTACTGCAGGTGAAGTACCTTGGGGAGGAGGGTGCCTCGGGGCCCATCCAAGCTGTTGTCTCCATCTGTGCTCCCCTCTCTGCTGTCCTGCCCTCCCTGCTTTCCTTCTCCCCCCCTCCTTCCGGTCTCTTCCCCCCCGTTCCCCCTCAACTGCAGGTGAAGTACCTCGGGGAGGAGGGTGCGACGGGGCCCATCCAAGCTGCTGTCTCCATCGGCAATCCCTGGGATCTGCTGGTATGGGCTCGCCTTGTCCCACCATGTGCCGTGCTGGTATGCTCTCACTGGTCCGCTCTTGGTCCACTCTACACATGGCGTGGATGGGCGGCACTGGTGTGGCGTGGATGGGCTGTAATTGAAATATCTTCTCACACATAATGGAGTTACTTACGTTTTGCGAGTGCGCATTCAACTGCCAGCAACAGCGCCATTCGCATTTCGCACACGTTTCGGCTCAGAAGCAACCTCATGCCCATTTTATCTCCCCACTTCCTTTTCCCCCCCCCTCCCTTACCCACTGCGCCTGCGCTCTATATTGTTTAGCCCTGAACCCTAAACCAGTGCGTGATGCCCCTTCTGTTCCCTTCTCTCCCCCTCTCCCCCTCTCTCCCCCTCTCCCCACCTCTCTCGCCCTCTCTCCCCCTCTCTCCCCCCCCCACCCTTTCGCCCAGATCTGTGACCGATGGATGAATCGGCGGACAAGGCAGCGAGTGTACAACACTGCCATGGTCACGGGCCTCAGAGACTTTGCCAAGCTGTGAGACGAAACCCTTGTGATGATGCCATGGCATGGCATGGCCAAGCTGTGAGACCACGGCTGCATGTCATGGGATAAGATGGAGTGACATGAGATGCCATGGGATAGCATGAGATGCCACGGGTTAGCATGACATGCCATGGGTTAGCATGACATGCCATGGGTTAGCATGACATGCCATGGGATGGTATGGGATAGCATGGGAGGGCATGGGATGGCATGGGATGCCATGGGATGGCTTGAGTTGTGGTGTGAGAATCTCTGAATGTGCGTGTGATGTAAATTACTACTCTCATGTCTGAAACTGCGGCTGTGCTGCATTCTTTTCCCGCTCACTTGTCCTCCTTTATTGCTTTCCTTCTCATCCCCCACCCTCCTCCTCCTCTTTCCTCTGCACTCTTTTGCCTTGCCTTTGCTTGGTTCTCGGTCATTTTCTCCCCCCCGCCCTCCTCCTCCACTCTCTTTCACCTCTCCTCTCCTCTCTCCCCTCGCAGCCACAAGGACATCTTTCAGCACCTCGTGGACGTGCAGCACCTCTGCTCACCTCTCTTCCCCCTTCGCCTCTTGTTTCCTCTCTCCCCTCCCCTCTCCCCTCCTCCCCCATCACAGTCACAAGGACAGCTTTCAGCACCTCGTGGACGTGCAGCACGTCATGAAGGTGGGTGGGCAGCATGTTCTCTGCAACATGCGTGTGCGGGGTGGCATGGGCTGGCGGCATGTGCTATGTGCCGGGTGGCATATGCAGGGCGGCATGTGCTGGGCGGCATGTGCTGGGCGGCATGTGCTGGGCGGCATGTACTGGCTGGAATGTTAGTGCATGTGCAGCGCATTAGGTTCATCTCGTGTGTGTGCTGATCACCAGTTTATTATTTCCTTTCAACCTTGGGCACTTCCAAAGAAGAACAGGTTCGACCTGGATCCAACAGGTGACTCGTCCTTAACAAGTTCTCAAAAAACATACTCGTGTGTGTGCTGATCACCAGCTTATTATTTCCTTTCAACCTTGGGCACTTCCAACAACTGCAGAATCCGCTTTCACCAGCTTATTATTTCCTTTCAACCTTGGGCACTTCCAACAACTGCAGAATCCGCTTTCACCAGCTTATTATTTCCTTTCAACCTTGGGCACTTCCAACAACTGCAGAATCCGCTTTGACATTCTTCCCCTTTCTCCTGCTCCGAGCTACCCTCTCACGTCATTCCTTGCTCCTTTCTCTGTCTTTGCCCTCTCACCACCACACCATCCCCGCAAACTCCTTCAGGCGCGCACCATCCGCCAGTTTGACGACCGCATCACTCGCATCGTCAGCAACTACGAGGTACGGCCGTGCTGCGATTCTTTAGGCGCCTCAATTTGTTTTTAGGCGCCTCAAAAATTGTCTCCAAAATCTTCTGAGGGCGCCTCAAAACTCGCATCGTCAGCAACTATGAGGTACTGCCATGCTGCTCTGTCCTCTCATGGCATCCCTTGAGGTCATGTAAGCACGTCATGTATTTCAGCCTGATTACACTCTGTCCACTCCCTGTGCTGTCATGAAACCTGATTGCACCCTGATGACGTCTTGTTCAATTTCATCATGCTCTTCTGATCCCCGTTGTTGCAGCTGTCCTCAGTTCCTGCCTCAACTGGTTCTGCTTGTTCCTCCCTGCAATGGCAGTGCCGCTGCTGGCTGTCCACTCCACTGCCCCCCTCCTCCTTAACCCCTCTTCTCGCCCCTACTTTTGCCCCTTCCCTTCCCCCCCTTCCCTTTGTTACCCCCCTCTTCAGACCGTAGACACATACTATCGTCGATGCGGGTCGGCCCAGTTCCTGCCAGAGGTGGCGGTGCCTCTGCTGGCTGTGAGCGCACTGGACGACCCCATCTGCACCAGAGAGGCCATTCCCTGGGACGAGGCCAAGTGAGTGAATGTGGGGAAGCAAAGGGGGTGGTGAGGATGAACTTTTGAGAATTCTCAAAAGTGAGTGAATGTGGGGAAGCAAAGGGGGTGGTGAGGATGAACTTTTGAGAATTCTCAAAAGTGAGTGAATGTGGGGAAGCAAAGGGGGTGGTGAGGATGAACTTTTGAGAATTCTCAAAAGTGAGTGAATGTGGGGAAGCAAAGGGGGTGGTGAGGATATGTTTGAGTCAACTTAAACCGCAAGTGGCGGTGCCGCTGCTGGCTGTTAGCGCACTAGATGACCCAATCTGCACCAGAAAGCCATTCCCTGAGACGAGACCAAGTGAGTTGGAGTGGGGAGATAAACCCTCCTTTCCTCTCTCTCCCCGCCCTTCTTTCCCCTCCTCTCCTCTCCTCTCCTTCAGAGCCAACCCAAACGTGGTGCTGGCAGTGTCGCACCATGGCGGGCATCTGGCATATCTGCAGGGACTCACTGCTAGTAGTATATGGTGGGTGGGTGTGTGGGTGGGTGGGTGGGTGGGTGGGTGGGTGTGGTGGGTGTGATGGGTGTGATGGATGTGATGGATGTGATGGATGCAGTGATGCATTGGTGGTGGGTGCATCCCGGCGCACTCTACTCTCCATACAAACACCTACGGACCCCAATCACACCAGAATACTTGGCGTCTTAACTTCATCTTCCCTGACCCTTCCCCCTCTCACCCTCGTTCCTCTCATCTTTCCCCTCTTATCTCTCCCCTCTCTCTCATCTCTCACTTCTCATCTCTCCCCTCTCATCCTTCCCCTCATCCCGCATCCCTTCCTCGTCTCACTCCCACTTTGCTCTCCAACCCAGGTGGGTGCAGGTATCAATGGACTTTCTACAAGCAGTGGTGGACGCACGAAAGGCAGGAGAAACGGTGGGCCATGTGAGTGTTGCGAGAGGGGCATGTGAGTGTTGCGAGAGGGGCATGTGAGTGTTGCGAGAGGGGCATGTGAGTGTTGCGAGAGGGGCATGTGAGTGTTGCGAGAGGGGCATGTGAGTGTTGCGAGAGGGGCATGTGAGTGTTGCGAGAGGGGCATGTGAGTGTTGCGAGAGGGGCATGTGAGTGTTGCGAGAGGGGCATGTGAGTGTTGCGAGAGGGGCATGTGAGTGTTGCGAGAGGGGCATGTGAGTGTTGCGAGAGGGGCATGTGAGTGTTGCGAGAGGGGCATGTGAGTGTTGCGAGAGGGGCATGTGAGTGTTGCGAGAGGGCATGTGAGTGTTGCGAGAGGGGCATGTGAGTGTTGCGAGAGGGGCATGTGAGTGTTGCGAGAGGGGCATGTGAGTGTTGCGAGAGGGGCATGTGAGTGTTGCGAGAGGGGCATGTGAGTGTTGCGAGAGGGGCATGTGAGTGTTGCGAGAGGGGCATGTGAGTGTTGCGAGAGGGGCATGTGAGTGTTGCGAGAGGGGCATGTGAGTGTTGCGAGAGGGGCATGTGAGTGTTGCGAGAGGGGCATGTGAGTGTTGCGAGAGGGGCATGTGAGTGTTGCGAGAGGGGCAATGTGAGTGTTGCGAGAGGGGCATGTGAGTGTTGCGAGAGGGGCATGTGAGTGTTGCGAGAGGGGCATGTGAGTGTTGCGAGAGGGGCATGTGAGTGTTGCGAGAGGGGCATGTGAGTGTTGCGAGAGGGGCATGTGAGTGTTGCGAGAGGGGCATGTGAGTGTTGCGAGAGGGGCATGTGAGTGTTGCGAGAGGGGCATGTGAGTGTTGCGAGAGGGGCATGTGAGTGTTGCGAGAGGGGCATGTGAGTGTTGCGAGAGGGGCATGTGAGTGTTGCGAGAGGGGCATGTGAGTGTTGCGAGAGGGGCATGTGAGTGTTGCGAGAGGGGCATGTGAGTGTTGCGAGAGGGGCATGTGAGTGTTGCGAGAGGGGCATGTGAGTGTTGCGAGAGGGGCATGTGAGTGTTGCGAGAGGGGCATGTGAGTGTTGCGAGAGGGGCATGTGAGTGTTGCGAGAGGGGCATGTGAGTGTTGCGAGAGGGGCATGTGAGTGTTGCGAGAGGGGCATGTGAGTGTTGCGAGAGGGGCATGTGAGTGTTGCGAGAGGGGCATGTGAGTGTTGCGAGAGGGGCATGTGAGTGTTGCGAGAGGGGCATGTGAGTGTTGCGAGAGGGGCATGTGAGTGTTGCGAGAGGGGCATGTGAGTGTTGCGAGAGGGGCATGTGAGTGTTGCGAGAGGGGCATGTGAGTGTTGCGAGAGGGGCATGTGAGTGTTGCGAGAGGGGGCATGTGAGTGTTGCGAGAGGGGCATGTGAGTGTTGCGAGAGGGGCATGTGAGTGTTGCGAGAGGGGCATGTGAGTGTTGCGAGAGGGGCATGTGAGTGTTGCGAGAGGGGCATTGTGAGTGTTGCGAGAGGGGCATGTGAGTGTTGCGAGAGGGGCATGTGAGTGTTGCGAGAGGGGCATGTGAGTGTTGCGAGAGGGGCATGTGAGTGTGCGAGAGGGGCATGTGAGTGTTTGCGAGAGGGGCATGTGAGTGTTGCGAGAGGGGCATGTGAGTGTTGCGAGAGGGGCATGTGAGTGTTGCGAGAGGGGCATGTGAGTGTTGCGAGAGGGGCATGTGAGTGTTGCGAGAGGGGCATGTGAGTGTTGCGAGAGGGGCATGTGAGTGTTGCGAGAGGGGCATGTGAGTGTTGCGAGAGGGGCATGTGAGTGTTGCGAGAGGGGCATGTGAGTGTTGCGAGAGGGGCATGTGAGTGTTGCGAGAGGGGCATGTGAGTGTTGCGAGAGGGGCATGTGAGTGTTGCGAGAGGGGCATGTGAGTGTTGCGAGAGGGGCATGTGAGTGTTGCGAGAGGGGCATGTGAGTGTTGCGAGAGGGGCATGTGAGTGTTGCGAGAGGGGCATGTGAGTGTTGCGAGAGGGGCATGTGAGTGTTGCGAGAGGGGCATGTGAGTGTTGCGAGAGGGGCATGTGAGTGTTGCGAGAGGGCATTTGAGTGTTGCGAGAGGGGCATGTGAGTGTTGCGAGAGGGGCATGTGAGTGTTGCGAGAGGGGCATGTGAGTGTTGCAGAGAGGGGCATGTGAGTGTTGCGAGAGGGGCATGTGAGTGTTGCGAGAGGGGCATGTGAGTGTGCGAGAGGGGCATGTGAGTGTTGCGAGAGGGGCATGTGAGTGTTGCGAGAGGGGCATGTGAGTGTTGCGAGAGGGGCATGTGAGTGTTGCGAGAGGGGCATGTGAGTGTTGCGAGAGGGGCATGTGAGTGTTGCGAGAGGGGCATGTGAGTGTTGCGAGAGGGCATGTGAGTGTTGCGAGAGGGCATGTGAGTGTTCGAGAGGGGCATGTGAGTGTTGCGAGAGGGGCATGTGAGTGTTGCGAGAGGGGCATGTGAGTGTTGCGAGAGGGGGCATGTGAGTGTTGCGAGAGGGGCATGTGAGTGTTGCGAGAGGGGCATGTGAGTGTTGCGAGAGGGGCATGTGAGTGTTGCGAGAGGGGCATGTGAGTGTTGCGAGAGGGGCATGTGAGTGTTGCGAGAGGGGCATGTGAGTGTTGCGAGAGGGGCATGTGAGTGTTGCGGAGAGGAGGCATGTGAGTGTTGCGAGAGGGGCATGTGAGTGTTGCGAGAGGGGCATGTGAGTGTTGCGAGAGGGGCATGTGAGTGTTGCGAGAGGGGCATGTGAGTGTTGCGAGAGGGGCATGTGAGTGTTGCGAGAGGGGCATGTGAGTGTTGCGAGAGGGGCATGTGAGTGTTGCGAGAGGGGCATGTGAGTGTTGCGAGAGGGGCATGTGAGTGTTGCGAGAGGGGCATGTGAGTGTTGCGAGAGGGGCATGTGAGTGTTGCGAGGCGAGGGGCATGTGAGTGTTGCGAGAGGGGCATGTGAGTGTTGCGAGAGGGGCATGTGAGTGTTGCGAGAGGGGCATGTGAGTGTTGCGAGAGGGGCATGTGAGTGTTGCGAGAGGGGCATGTGAGTGTTGCGAGAGGGGCATGTGAGTGTTGCGAGAGGGGCATGTGAGTGTTGCGAGAGGGGCATGTGAGTGTTGCGAGAGGGGCATGTGAGTGTTTGCGAGAGGGGCATGTGAGTGTTGCGAGAGGGGCATGTGAGTGTTGCGAGAGGGGCATGTGAGTGTTGCGAGAGGGGCATGTGAGTGTTGCGAGAGGGGCATGTGAGTGTTGCGAGAGGGGCATGTGAGTGTTGCGAGAGGGGCATGTGAGTGTTGCGAGAGGGGCATGTGAGTGTTGCGAGAGGGGCATGTGAGTGTTGCGAGAGGGGCATGTGAGTGTTGCGAGAGGGGCATGTGAGTGTTGCGAGAGGGGCATGTGAGTGTTGCGAGAGGGGCATGTGAGTGTTGCGAGAGGGGCATGTGAGTGTTGCGAGAGGGGCATGTGAGTGTTGCGAGAGGGGCATGTGAGTGTTGCGAGAGGGGCATGTGAGTGTTGCGAGAGGGGCATGTGAGTGTTGCGAGAGGGGCATGTGAGTGTTGCGAGAGGGGCATGTGAGTGTTGCGAGAGGGGCATGTGAGTGTTGCGAGCATGTGAGTGTTGCGAGAGGGGCATGTGAGTGTTGCGAGAGGGGCATGTGAGTGTTGCGAGAGGGGCATGTGAGTGTTGCGAGAGGGGCATGTGAGTGTTGCGAGAGGGGCATGTGAGTGTTGCGAGAGGGGCATGTGAGTGTTGCGAGAGGGGCATGTGAGTGTTGCGAGAGGGGCATGTGAGTGTTGCGAGAGGGGCATGTGAGTGTTGCGAGAGGGGCATGTGAGTGTTGCGAGAGGGGCATGTGAGTGTTGCGAGAGGGGCATGTGAGTGTTGCGAGAGGGGCATGTGAGTGTTGCGAGAGGGGCATGTGAGTGTTGCGAGAGGGGCATGTGAGTGTTGCGAGAGGGGCATGTGAGTGTTGCGAGAGGGGCATGTGAGTGTTGCGAGAGGGGCATGTGAGTGTTGCGAGAGGGGCATGTGAGTGTTGCGAGAGGGGCATGTGAGTGTTGCGAGAGGGGCATGTGAGTGTTGCGAGAGGGGCATGTGAGTGTTGCGAGAGGGGCATGTGAGTGTTGCGAGAGGGGCATGTGAGTGTTGCGAGAGGGGCATGTGAGTGTTGCGAGAGGGGCATGTGAGTGTTGCGAGAGGGGCATGTGAGTGTTGCGAGAGGGCATGTGAGTGTTGCGAGAGGGGCATGTGAGTGTTGCGAGAGGGGCATGTGAGTGTTGCGAGAGGGGCATGTGAGTGTTGCGAGAGGGGCATGTGAGTGTTGCGAGAGGGGCATGTGAGTGTTGCGAGAGGGGCATGTGAGTGTTGCGAGAGGGGCATGTGAGTGTTGCGAGAGGGGCATGTGAGTGTTGCGAGAGGGGCATGTGAGTGTTGCGAGAGGGGCATGTGAGTGTTGCGAGAGGGGCATGTGAGTGTTGCGAGAGGGGCATGTGAGTGTTGCGAGAGGGGCATGTGAGTGTTGCGAGAGGGGCATGTGAGTGTTGCGAGAGGGGCATGTGAGTGTTGCGAGAGGGGCATGTGAGTGTTGCGAGAGGGGCATGTGAGTGTTGCGAGAGGGGCATGTGAGTGTTGCGAGAGGGGCATGTGAGTGTTGCGAGAGGGGCATGTGAGTGTTGCGAGAGGGGCATGTGAGTGTTGCGAGAGGGGCATGTGAGTGTTGCGAGAGGGGCATGTGAGTGTTGCGAGAGGGGCATGTGAGTGTTGCGAGAGGGGCATGTGAGTGTTGCGAGAGGGGCATGTGAGTGTTGCGAGAGGGGCATGTGAGTGTTGCGAGAGGGGCATGTGAGTGTTGCGAGAGGGGCATGTGAGTGTTGCGAGAGGGGCATGTGAGTGTTGCGAGAGGGGCATGTGAGTGTTGCGAGAGGGGCATGTGAGTGTTGCGAGAGGGGCATGTGAGTGTTGCGAGAGGGGCATGTGAGTGTTGCGAGAGGGGCATGTGAGTGTTGCGAGAGGGGCATGTGAGTGTTGCGAGAGGGGCATGTGAGTGTTGCGAGAGGGGCATGTGAGTGTGCGAGAGGGGCATGTGAGTGTTTGCGAGAGGGGCATGTGAGTGTTGCGAGAGGGGCATGTGAGTGTTGCGAGAGGGGCATGTGAGTGTTGCGAGAGGGGCATGTGAGTGTTGCGAGAGGGGCATGTGAGTGTTGCGAGAGGGGCATGTGAGTGTTGCGAGAGGGGCATGTGAGTGTTGCGAGAGGGGCATGTGAGTGTTGCGAGAGGGGCATGTGAGTGTTGCGAGAGGGGCATGTGAGTGTTGCGAGAGGGCATGTGAGTGTTGCGAGAGGGGCATGTGAGTGTTGCGAGAGGGGCATGTGAGTGTTGCGAGAGGGGCATGTGAGTGTTGCGAGAGGGGCATGTGAGTGTTGCGAGAGGGGCATGTGAGTGTTGCGAGAGGGGCATGTGATTGTTGCGAGAGGGGCATGTGAGTGTTGCGAGAGGGGCATGTGAGTGTTGCGAGAGGGCATGTGAGTGTTGCGAGAGGGGCATGTGAGTGTTGCGAGAGGGGCATGTGAGTGTTGCGAGAGGGGCATGTGAGTGTTGCGAGAGGGGCATGTGAGTGTTGCGAGAGGGGCATGTGAGTGTTGCGAGAGGGGCATGTGAGTGTTGCGAGAGGGGCATGTGAGTGGTTGCGAGAGGGGCATGTGAGTGTTGCGAGAGGGGCATGTGAGTGTTGCGAGAGGGGCATGTGAGTGTTGCGAGAGGGGCATGTGAGTGTTGCGAGAGGGGCATGTGAGTGTTGCGAGAGGGGCATGTGAGTGTTGCGAGAGGGGCATGTGAGTGTTGCGAGAGGGGCATGTGAGTGTTGCGAGAGGGGCATGTGAGTGTTGCGAGAGGGGCATGTGAGTGTTGCGAGAGGGGCATGTGAGTGTTGCGAGAGGGGCATGTGAGTGTTGCGAGAGGGGCATGTGAGTGTTGCGAGAGGGGCATGTGAGTGTTGCGAGAGGGGCATGTGAGTGTTGCGAGAGGGGCATGTGAGTGTTGCGAGAGGGGGCATGTGAGTGTTGCGAGAGGGGCATGTGAGTGTTGCGAGAGGGGCATGTGAGTGTTGCGAGAGGGGCATGTGAGTGTTGCGAGAGGGCATGTGAGTGTTGCGAGAGGGGCATGTGAGTGTTGCGAGAGGGGCATGTGAGTGTTGCGAGAGGGGCATGTGAGTGTTGCGAGAGGGGCATGTGAGTGTTGCGAGAGGGGCATGTGAGTGTTGCGAGAGGGGCATGTGAGTGTTGCGAGAGGGGCATGTGAGTGTTGCGAGAGGGGCATGTGAGTGTTGCGAGGGGGGCATGTGAGTGTTGCGAGAGGGGCATGTGAGTGTTGCGAGAGGGGCATGTGAGTGTTGCGAGAGGGGCATGTGAGTGTTGCGAGAGGGGCATGTGAGTGTTGCGAGAGGGGCATGTGAGTGTTGCGAGAGGGGCATGTGAGTGTTGCGAGAGGGGCATGTGAGTGTTGCGAGAGGGGCATGTGAGTGTTGCGAGAGGGGCATGTAGTGTTGCGAGAGGGGCATGTGAGTGTTGCGAGAGGGGCATGTGAGTGTTGCGAGAGGGGCATGTGAGTGTTGCGAGAGGGGCATGTGAGTGTTGCGAGAGGGGCATGTGAGTGTTGCGAGAGGGGCATGTGAGTGTTGCGAGAGGGGGCATGTGAGTGTTGCGAGAGGGGCATGTGAGTGTTGCGAGAGGGGCATGTGAGTGTTGCGAGAGGGGCATGTGAGTGTTGCGAGAGGGCACTGTGAGTGTTTGCGAGAGGGGCATGTGAGTGTTGCGAGAGGGCATGTGAGTGTTGCGAGAGGGGCATGTGAGGTTGCGAGAGGGGCATGTGAGTGTGCGAGAGGGGCATGTGAGTGTTGCGAGGAGGGGTATGTGAGTGTTGCGAGAGGGCATGTGAGTGTTGCGAGAGGGGCATGGTGACGGTGTTGCGAGAGCGGCATGTGAGTGTTGCGAGAGGGGCATGTGAGTGTTTCGAGAGGGGCATGTGAGTGTTGCGAGAGGGGCATGTGAGTGTTGCGAGAGGGGCATGTGAGTGTTGCGAGAGGGGCATGTGAGTGTGCGAGAGGGGCATGTGATGTGTGCGAGAGGGGCATCGTGTGTGAGTGTTGCGAGGGGGCATGTGAGTGTTGCGAGAGGGGCATGTGAGTGTGCGAGAGGGGCATGTGAGTGTGCGAGAGGGGTGCATGTGAGTGTTGCGAGAGGGGCATGTGAGTGTTGCGAGAGGGGCATGTGAGTGTTGCGAGAGGGGCATGTGAGTGTTGCGAGAGGGGCATGTGAGTGTTGCGAGAGGGGCATGTGAGTGTTGCGAGAGGGGCATGTGAGTGTTGCGAGAGGGGCATGTGAGTGTTGCGAGAGGGGCATGTGAGTGTTGCGAGAGGGGCATGTGAGTGTTGCGAGAGGGCATGTGAGTGTTGCGAGAGGGGCATGTGAGTGTTGCGAGAGGGGCATGTGAGTGTTGCGAGAGGGGCATGTGAGTGTTGCGAGAGGGGCATGTGAGTGTTGCGAGAGGGGCATGTGAGTGTTGCGAGAGGGGCATGTGAGTGTTGCGAGAGGGGCATGTGAGTGTTGCGAGAGGGGCATGTGAGTGTTGCGAGAGGGGCATGTGAGTTGTTGCGAGAGGGGCATGTGAGTGTTGCGAGAGGGGCATGTGAGTGTTGCGAGAGGGGCATGTGAGTGTTGCGAGAGGGCATGTGAGTGTTGCGAGAGGGGCATGTGAGTGTTGCGAGAGGGGCATGTGAGTGTTGCGAGAGGGGCATGGAGGTGGAGAGGGCATGTGAGTGTGCGAGAGGGGCATGTGAGTGTTGCGAGAGGGGCATGTGAGTGTTGCGAGAGGGGCATGTGAGTGTTGCGAGAGGGGCATGTGAGTGTTGCGAGAGGGGGCATGTGAGTGTTGCGAGAGGGGTCTGTGGGAGTGTTGCGAGAGGGGCATGTGAGTGTTGCGCGAGGGGCATGTGAGTGTTGCGAGAGGGGCATGTGAGTGTTTCGCGAGAGGGGCATGTGAGTGTGCGGAGGGCAGGTGAGTGTTGCGAGAGGGCATGTGAGTGTTGCGAGAGGGGGCATGTGAGTGTTGCGAGAGGGGCATGTGAGTGTTGCGAGAGGGGCATGTGAGTGGTTGGCGAGAGGGGCATGTGAGTGTTGCGAGAGGGGCAGTGTGAGTGTTGCGAGAGGGGGCATGTGAGTGTTGCGAGAGGGCATGTGAGTGTTGCGAGAGGGGCATGTGAGTGTTGCGAGAGGGGCATGTGAGTGTTGCGAGAGGGGCATGTGAGTGTTGCGAGAGGGGCATGTGAGTGTTGCGAGAGGGGCATGGTGGGGGGGGGGGATATGAGTGTTGCGAGAGGGGCATGTGAGTGTTGCGAGAGGGGCATGTGAGTGTTGCGAGAGGGGCATGTGAGTGTTGCAGAGAGGGGCATGTGAGTGGTTGCGAGAGGGCATGTGAGTGTTGCGAGAGGGGCATGTGAGTGTTGCGAGAGGGGCATGTGAGTGTTGCGAGAGGGGCATGTGAGTGTTGCGAGAGGGGCATGTGAGTGTTGCGAGAGGGGCAATGTGAGTGTTGCGAGAGGGGCATGTGAGTGTTGCGAGAGGGGCATGTGAGTGTTGCGAGAGGGGCATGTGAGTGTTGCGAGAGGGGCATGTGAGTGTTGCGAGAGGGGGCATGTGAGTGTTGCGAGAGGGGCATGTGAGTGTTGCGAGAGGGGCATGTGAGTGTTGCGAGAGGGGCATGTGAGTGTTGCGAGAGGGGCATGTGAGTGTGCGAGAGGGGGCATGTGAGTGTTGCGAGAGGGCATGTGAGTGTTGCGAGAGGGGCATGTGAGTGTTGCGAGAGGGGCATGTGAGTGTTGCGAGAGGGGCATGTGAGTGTTGCGAGAGGGGCATGTGAGTGTTGCGAGAGGGGCATGTGAGTGTTGCGAGAGGGGCATGTGAGTGTTGCGAGAGGGGCATGTGAGTGTTGCGAGAGGGGCATGTGAGTGTTGCGAGAGGGGCATGTGAGTGTTGCGAGAGGGGCATGTGAGTGTTGCGAGAGGGGCATGTGAGTGTTGCGAGAGGGGCATGTGAGTGTTGCGAGAGGGGCATGTGAGTGTTGCGAGAGGGGCATGTGAGTGTTGCGAGAGGGGCATGTGAGTGTTGCGAGAGGGGCATGTGAGTGTTGCGAGAGGGGCATGGCATGTGAGTGTTGCGAGAGGGGCATGTGAGTGTTGCGAGAGGGGCATGTGAGTGTTGCGAGAGGGGCATGTGAGTGTTGCGAGAGGGGCATGTGAGTGTTGCGAGAGGGGCATGTGAGTGTTGCGAGAGGGGCATGTGAGTGTTGCGAGAGGGGCATGTGAGTGTTGCGAGAGGGGCATGTGAGTGTTGCGAGAGGGGCATGTGAGTGTTGCGAGAGGGGCATGTGAGTGTTGCGAGAGGGGCATGTGAGTGTTGCGAGAGGGGCATGTGGAGGTTGCGAGAGGGGCATGTGAGTGTTGCGAGAGGGGCATGTGAGTGTTGCGAGAGGGGCATGTGAGTGTTGCGAGAGGGGCATGTGAGTGTTGCGAGAGGGGCATGTGAGTGTTGCGAGAGGGGCATGTGAGTGTTGCGAGAGGGGCATGTGAGTGTTGCGAGAGGGGCATGTGAGTGTTGCGAGAGGGGCATGTGAGTGTTGCGAGAGGGGCATGTGAGTGTTGCGAGAGGGGCATGTGAGTGTTGCGAGAGGGGCATGTGAGTGTTTGCGAGAGGGGCATGTGAGTGTTGCGAGAGGGGCATGTGAGTGTTGCGAGAGGGGCATGTGAGTGTTGCGAGAGGGGCATGTGAGTGTTGCGAGAGGGGCATGTGAGTGTTGCGAGAGGGGCATGTGAGTGTTGCGAGAGGGGCATGTGAGTGTTGCGAGAGGGGCATGTGAGTGTTGCGAGAGGGGCATGTGAGTGTTGCGAGAGGGGCATGTGAGTGTTGCGAGAGGGGCATGTGAGTGTTGCGAGAGGGGCATGTGAGTGTTGCGAGAGGGGCATGTGAGTGTTGCGAGAGGGGCATGTGAGTGTTGCGAGAGGGGCATGTGAGTGTTGCGAGAGGGGCATGTGAGTGTTGCGAGAGGGGCATGTGAGTGTTGCGAGAGGGGCATGTGAGTGTTGCGAGAGGGGCATGTGAGTGTTGCGAGAGGGGCATGTGAGTGTTGCGAGAGGGGCATGTGAGTGTTGCGAGAGGGGCATGTGAGTGTTGCGAGAGGGGCATGTGAGTGTTGCGAGAGGGGCATGTGAGTGTTGCGAGAGGGGCATGTGAGTGTTGCGAGAGGGGCATGTGAGTGTTGCGAGAGGGGCATGTGAGTGTTGCGAGAGGGGCATGTGAGTGTTGCGAGAGGGGCATGTGAGTGTTGCGAGAGGGGCATGTGAGTGTTGCGAGAGGGGCATGTGAGTGTTGCGAGAGGGGCATGTGAGTGTTGCGAGAGGGGCATGTGAGTGTTGCGAGAGGGGCATGTGAGTGTTGCGAGAGGGGCATGTGAGTGTTGCGAGAGGGGCATGTGAGTGTTGCGAGAGGGGCATGTGAGTGTTGCGAGAGGGGCATGTGAGTGTTGCGAGAGGGGCATGTGAGTGTTGCGAGAGGGGCATGTGAGTGTTGCGAGAGGGGCATGTGAGTGTTGCGAGAGGGGCATGTGAGTGTTGCGAGAGGGGCATGTGAGTGTTGCGAGAGGGGCATGTGAGTGTTGCGAGAGGGGCATGTGAGTGTTGCGAGAGGGGCATGTGAGTGTTGCGAGAGGGGCATGTGAGTGTTGCGAGAGGGGCATGTGAGTGTTGCGAGAGGGCATGGCATGTGAGTGTTGCGAGAGGGGCATGTGAGTGTTGCGAGAGGGGCATGTGAGTGTTTGCGAGAGGGGCATGTGAGTGTTGCGAGAGGGGCATGTGAGTGTTGCGAGAGGGGCATGTGAGTGTTGCGAGAGGGGCATGTGAGTGTTGCGAGAGGGGCATGTGAGTGTTGCGAGAGGGGCATGTGAGTGTTGCGAGAGGGGCATGTGAGTGTTGCGAGAGGGGCATGTGAGTGTTGCGAGAGGGGCATGTGAGTGTTGCGAGAGGGGCATGTGAGTGTTGCGAGAGGGGCATGTGAGTGTTGCGAGAGGGGCATGTGAGTGTTGCGAGAGGGGCATGTGAGTGTTGCGAGAGGGGCATGTGAGTGTTGCGAGAGGGGCATGTGAGTGTTGCGAGAGGGGCATGTGAGTGTTGCGAGAGGGGCATGTGAGTGTTGCGAGAGGGGCATGTGAGTGTTGCGAGAGGGGCATGTGAGTGTTGCGAGAGGGGCATGTGAGTGTTGCGAGAGGGGCATGTGAGTGTTGCGAGAGGGCATGTGAGTGTTGCGAGAGGGGCATGTGAGTGTTGCGAGAGGGGCATGTGAGTGTTGCGAGAGGGGCATGTGAGTGTTGCGAGAGGGGCATGTGAGTGTTGCGAGAGGGGCATGTGAGTGTTGCGAGAGGGGCATGTGAGTGTTGCGAGAGGGGCATGTGAGTGTTGCGAGAGGGGCATGTGAGTGTTGCGAGAGGGGCATGTGAGTGTTGCGAGAGGGGCATGTGAGTGTTGCGAGAGGGGCATGTGAGTGTTGCGAGAGGGGCATGTGAGTGTTGCGAGAGGGGCATGTGAGTGTTGCGAGAGGGGCATGTGAGTGTTGCGAGAGGGGCATGTGAGTGTTGCGAGAGGGGCATGTGAGTGTTGCGAGAGGGGCATGTGAGTGTTGCGAGAGGGGCATGTGAGTGTTGCGAGAGGGGCATGTGAGTGTTGCGAGAGGGGCATGTGAGTGTTGCGAGAGGGGCATGTGAGTGTTGCGAGAGGGGCATGTGAGTGTTGCGAGAGGGGCATGTGAGTGTTGCGAGAGGGGCATGTGAGTGTTGCGAGAGGGGCATGTGAGTGTTGCGAGAGGGGCATGTGAGTGTTGCGAGAGGGGCATGTGAGTGTTGCGAGAGGGGCATGTGAGTGTTGCGAGAGGGGCATGTGAGTGTTGCGAGAGGGGCATGTGAGTGTTGCGAGAGGGGGCGAGGGGCATGTGAGTGTTGCGAGAGGGGCATGTGAGTGTTGCGAGAGGGGCATGTGAGTGTTGCGAGAGGGGCATGTGAGTGTTGCGAGAGGGGCATGTGAGTGTTGCGAGAGGGGCATGTGAGTGTTGCGAGAGGGGCATGTGAGTGTTGCGAGAGGGGCATGTGAGTGTTGCGAGAGGGGCATGTGAGTGTTGCGAGAGGGGCATGTGAGTGTTGCGAGAGGGGCATGTGAGTGTTGCGAGAGGGGCATGTGAGTGTTGCGAGAGGGGCATGTGAGTGTTGCGAGAGGGGCATGTGAGTGTTGCGAGAGGGGCATGTGAGTGTTGCGAGAGGGGCATGTGAGTGTTGCGAGAGGGGCATGTGAGTGTTGCGAGAGGGGCATGTGAGTGTTGCGAGAGGGGCATGTGAGTGTTGCGAGAGGGGCATGTGAGTGTTGCGAGAGGGGCATGTGAGTGTTGCGAGAGGGGCATGTGAGTGTTGCGAGAGGGGCATGTGAGTGTTGCGAGAGGGGCATGTGAGTGTTGCACTTGGAGCATGTGAGTGTTGCGAGAGGGGCATGTGAGTGTTGCGAGAGGGGCATGTGAGTGTTGCGAGAGGGGCATGTGAGTGTTGCGAGAGGGGCATGTGAGTGTTGCGAGAGGGGCATGTGAGTGTTGCGAGAGGGGCATGTGAGTGTTGCGAGAGGGGCATGTGAGTGTTGCGAGAGGGGCATGTGAGTGTTGCGAGAGGGGCATGTGAGTGTTGCGAGAGGGGCATGTGAGTGTTGCACTTGGAGCATGTGAGTGTTGCGAGAGGGGCATGTGAGTGTTGCACTTGGAGCATGTGAGTGTTGCGAGAGGGGCATGTGAGTGTTGCACTTGGAGCATGTGAGTGTTGCGAGAGGGGCATGTGAGTGTTGCGAGAGGGGCATGTGAGTGTTGCGAGAGGGGCATGTGAGTGTTGCGAGAGGGGCATGTGAGTGTTGCGAGAGGGGCATGTGAGTGTTGCGAGAGGGGCATGTGAGTGTTGCACATGGAGCATGTGAGTGTTGCGAGAGGGGCATGTGAGTGTTGCACTTGGAGCATGTGAGTGTTGCGAGAGGGGCATGTGAGTGTTGCACTTGGAGCATGTGAGTGTTGCGAGAGGGGCATGTGAGTGTTGCGAGAGGGGCATGTGAGTGTTGCGAGAGGGGCATGTGAGTGTTGCGAGAGGGGCATGTGAGTGTTGCGAGAGGGGCATGTGAGTGTTGCACTTGGAGCATGTGAGTGTTGCGAGAGGGGCATGTGAGTGTTGCGAGAGGGGCATGTGAGTGTTGCGAGAGGGGCATGTGAGTGTTGCGAGAGGGGCATGTGAGTGTTGCGAGAGGGGCATGTGAGTGTTGCGAGAGGGGCATGTGAGTGTTGCGAGAGGGGCATGTGAGTGTTGCGAGAGGGGCATGTGAGTGTTGCGAGAGGGGCATGTGAGTGTTGCGAGAGGGGCATGTGAGTGTTGCACTTGGAGCATGTGAGTGTTGCGAGAGGGGCATGTGAGTGTTGCACTTGGATCATGTGAGTGTTGCGAGAGGGGCATGTGAGTGTTGCACTTGGAGCATGTGAGTGTTGCGAGAGGGGCATGTGAGTGTTGCGAGAGGGGCATGTGAGTGTTGCGAGAGGGGCATGTGAGTGTTGCACTTGGAGCATGTGAGTGTTGCGAGAGGGGCATGTGAGTGTTGCACTTGGAGCATGTGAGTGTTGCGAGAGGGGCATGTGAGTGTTGCACTTGGAGCATGTGAGTGTTGCGAGAGGGGCATGTGAGTGTTGCGAGAGGGGCATGTGAGTGTTGCGAGAGGGGCATGTGAGTGTTGCACATGGAGCATGTGAGTGTTGCGAGAGGGGCATGTGAGTGTTGCACTTGGAGCATGTGAGTGTTGCGAGAGGGGCATGTGAGTGTTGCACTTGGAGCATGTGAGTGTTGCGAGAGGGGCATGTGAGTGTTGCACTTGGAGCATGTGAGTGTTGCGAGAGGGGCATGTGAGTGTTGCGAGAGGGGCATGTGAGTGTTGCGAGAGGGGCATGTGAGTGTTGCGAGAGGGGCATGTGAGTGTTGCGAGAGGGGCATGTGAGTGTTGCACTTGGAGCATGTGAGTGTTGCGAGAGGGGCATGTGAGTGTTGCACTTGGAGCATGTGAGTGTTGCGAGAGGGGCATGTGAGTGTTGCGAGAGGGGCATGTGAGTGTTGCGAGAGGGGCATGTGAGTGTTGCGAGAGGGGCATGTGAGTGTTGCGAGAGGGGCATGTGAGTGTTGCGAGAGGGGCATGTGAGTGTTGCACATGGAGCATGTGAGTGTTGCGAGAGGGGCATGTGAGTGTTGCACTTGGAGCATGTGAGTGTTGCGAGAGGGGCATGTGAGTGTTGCACTTGGAGCATGTGAGTGTTGCGAGAGGGGCATGTGAGTGTTGCGAGAGGGGCATGTGAGTGTTGCGAGAGGGGCATGTGAGTGTTGCGAGAGGGGCATGTGAGTGTTGCACTTGGAGCATGTGAGTGTTGCGAGAGGGGCATGTGAGTGTTGCGAGAGGGGCATGTGAGTGTTGCGAGAGGGGCATGTGAGTGTTGCGAGAGGGGCATGTGAGTGTTGCGAGAGGGGCATGTGAGTGTTGCGAGAGGGGCATGTGAGTGTTGCGAGAGGGGCATGTGAGTGTTGCGAGAGGGGCATGTGAGTGTTGCGAGAGGGGCATGTGAGTGTTGCGAGAGGGGCATGTGAGTGTTGCGAGAGGGGCATGTGAGTGTTGCGAGAGGGGCATGTGAGTGTTGCGAGAGGGGCATGTGAGTGTTGCGAGAGGGGCATGTGAGTGTTGCGAGAGGGGCATGTGAGTGTTGCGAGAGGGGCATGTGAGTGTTGCGAGAGGGGCATGTGAGTGTTGCGAGAGGGGCATGTGAGTGTTGCGAGAGGGGCATGTGAGTGTTGCGAGAGGGGCATGTGAGTGTTGCACTTGGAGCATGTGAGTGTTGCGAGAGGGGCATGTGAGTGTTGCACTTGGAGCATGTGAGTGTTGCGAGAGGGGCATGTGAGTGTTGCGAGAGGGGCATGTGAGTGTTGCGAGAGGGGCATGTGAGTGTTGCGAGAGGGGCATGTGAGTGTTGCACTTGGAGCATGTGAGTGTTGCGAGAGGGGCATGTGAGTGTTGCACTTGGAGCATGTGAGTGTTGCGAGAGGGGCATGTGAGTGTTGCGAGAGGGGCATGTGAGTGTTGCGAGAGGGGCATGTGAGTGTTGCACATGGAGCATGTGAGTGTTGCGAGAGGGGCATGTGAGTGTTGCACTTGGAGCATGTGAGTGTTGCGAGAGGGGCATGTGAGTGTTGCACTTGGAGCATGTGAGTGTTGCGAGAGGGGCATGTGAGTGTTGCGAGAGGGGCATGTGAGTGTTGCGAGAGGGGCATGTGAGTGTTGCGAGAGGGGCATGTGAGTGTTGCGAGAGGGGCATGTGAGTGTTGCGAGAGGGGCATGTGAGTGTTGCACTTGGAGCATGTGAGTGTTGCGAGAGGGGCATGTGAGTGTTGCACTTGGAGCATGTGAGTGTTGCGAGAGGGGCATGTGAGTGTTGCGAGAGGGGCATGTGAGTGTTGCGAGAGGGGCATGTGAGTGTTGCGAGAGGGGCATGTGAGTGTTGCGAGAGGGGCATGTGAGTGTTGCGAGAGGGGCATGTGAGTGTTGCACATGGAGCATGTGAGTGTTGCGAGAGGGGCATGTGAGTGTTGCACTTGGAGCATGTGAGTGTTGCGAGAGGGGCATGTGAGTGTTGCACTTGGAGCATGTGAGTGTTGCGAGAGGGGCATGTGAGTGTTGCGAGAGGGGCATGTGAGTGTTGCGAGAGGGGCATGTGAGTGTTGCGAGAGGGGCATGTGAGTGTTGCACTTGGAGCATGTGAGTGTTGCGAGAGGGGCATGTGAGTGTTGCGAGAGGGGCATGTGAGTGTTGCGAGAGGGGCATGTGAGTGTTGCGAGAGGGGCATGTGAGTGTTGCGAGAGGGGCATGTGAGTGTTGCGAGAGGGGCATGTGAGTGTTGCGAGAGGGGCATGTGAGTGTTGCGAGAGGGGCATGTGAGTGTTGCGAGAGGGGCATGTGAGTGTTGCGAGAGGGGCATGTGAGTGTTGCGAGAGGGGCATGTGAGTGTTGCGAGAGGGGCATGTGAGTGTTGCGAGAGGGGCATGTGAGTGTTGCGAGAGGGGCATGTGAGTGTTGCGAGAGGGGCATGTGAGTGTTGCGAGAGGGGCATGTGAGTGTTGCGAGAGGGGCATGTGAGTGTTGCGAGAGGGGCATGTGAGTGTTGCACTTGGAGCATGTGAGTGTTGCGAGAGGGGCATGTGAGTGTTGCACTTGGAGCATGTGAGTGTTGCGAGAGGGGCATGTGAGTGTTGCACTTGGAGCATGTGAGTGTTGCGAGAGGGGCATGTGAGTGTTGCACTTGGAGCATGTGAGTGTTGCGAGAGGGGCATGTGAGTGTTGCACTTGGAGCATGTGAGTGTTGCGAGAGGGGCATGTGAGTGTTGCGAGAGGGGCATGTGAGTGTTGCGAGAGGGGCATGTGAGTGTTGCACATGGAGCATGTGAGTGTTGCGAGAGGGGCATGTGAGTGTTGCACTTGGAGCATGTGAGTGTTGCGAGAGGGGCATGTGAGTGTTGCGAGAGGGGCATGTGAGTGTTGCGAGAGGGGCATGTGAGTGTTGCGAGAGGGGCATGTGAGTGTTGCGAGAGGGGCATGTGAGTGTTGCGAGAGGGGCATGTGAGTGTTGCACTTGGAGCATGTGAGTGTTGCGAGAGGGGCATGTGAGTGTTGCACTTGGAGCATGTGAGTGTTGCGAGAGGGGCATGTGAGTGTTGCGAGAGGGGCATGTGAGTGTTGCGAGAGGGGCATGTGAGTGTTGCGAGAGGGGCATGTGAGTGTTGCGAGAGGGGCATGTGAGTGTTGCGAGAGGGGCATGTGAGTGTTGCACATGGAGCATGTGAGTGTTGCGAGAGGGGCATGTGAGTGTTGCACTTGGAGCATGTGAGTGTTGCGAGAGGGGCATGTGAGTGTTGCACTTGGAGCATGTGAGTGTTGCGAGAGGGGCATGTGAGTGTTGCGAGAGGGGCATGTGAGTGTTGCGAGAGGGGCATGTGAGTGTTGCGAGAGGGGCATGTGAGTGTTGCACTTGGAGCATGTGAGTGTTGCGAGAGGGGCATGTGAGTGTTGCGAGAGGGGCATGTGAGTGTTGCGAGAGGGGCATGTGAGTGTTGCGAGAGGGGCATGTGAGTGTTGCGAGAGGGGCATGTGAGTGTTGCGAGAGGGGCATGTGAGTGTTGCGAGAGGGGCATGTGAGTGTTGCGAGAGGGGCATGTGAGTGTTGCGAGAGGGGCATGTGAGTGTTGCACTTGGAGCATGTGAGTGTTGCGAGAGGGGCATGTGAGTGTTGCGAGAGGGGCATGTGAGTGTTGCGAGAGGGGCATGTGAGTGTTGCGAGAGGGGCATGTGAGTGTTGCGAGAGGGGCATGTGAGTGTTGCGAGAGGGGCATGTGAGTGTTGCGAGAGGGGCATGTGAGTGTTGCGAGAGGGGCATGTGAGTGTTGCGAGAGGGGCATGTGAGTGTTGCGAGAGGGGCATGTGAGTGTTGCGAGAGGGGCATGTGAGTGTTGCGAGAGGGGCATGTGAGTGTTGCGAGAGGGGCATGTGAGTGTTGCGAGAGGGGCATGTGAGTGTTGCGAGAGGGGCATGTGAGTGTTGCGAGAGGGGCATGTGAGTGTTGCACTTGGAGCATGTGAGTGTTGCGAGAGGGGCATGTGAGTGTTGCACTTGGAGCATGTGAGTGTTGCGAGAGGGGCATGTGAGTGTTGCACTTGGAGCATGTGAGTGTTGCGAGAGGGGCATGTGAGTGTTGCACTTGGAGCATGTGAGTGTTGCGAGAGGGGCATGTGAGTGTTGCACTTGGAGCATGTGAGTGTTGCGAGAGGGGCATGTGAGTGTTGCGAGAGGGGCATGTGAGTGTTGCGAGAGGGGCATGTGAGTGTTGCACATGGAGCATGTGAGTGTTGCGAGAGGGGCATGTGAGTGTTGCACTTGGAGCATGTGAGTGTTGCGAGAGGGGCATGTGAGTGTTGCGAGAGGGGCATGTGAGTGTTGCGAGAGGGGCATGTGAGTGTTGCGAGAGGGGCATGTGAGTGTTGCGAGAGGGGCATGTGAGTGTTGCGAGAGGGGCATGTGAGTGTTGCACTTGGAGCATGTGAGTGTTGCGAGAGGGGCATGTGAGTGTTGCACTTGGAGCATGTGAGTGTTGCGAGAGGGGCATGTGAGTGTTGCGAGAGGGGCATGTGAGTGTTGCGAGAGGGGCATGTGAGTGTTGCGAGAGGGGCATGTGAGTGTTGCGAGAGGGGCATGTGAGTGTTGCGAGAGGGGCATGTGAGTGTTGCACATGGAGCATGTGAGTGTTGCGAGAGGGGCATGTGAGTGTTGCACTTGGAGCATGTGAGTGTTGCGAGAGGGGCATGTGAGTGTTGCACTTGGAGCATGTGAGTGTTGCGAGAGGGGCATGTGAGTGTTGCGAGAGGGGCATGTGAGTGTTGCGAGAGGGGCATGTGAGTGTTGCGAGAGGGGCATGTGAGTGTTGCACTTGGAGCATGTGAGTGTTGCGAGAGGGGCATGTGAGTGTTGCGAGAGGGGCATGTGAGTGTTGCGAGAGGGGCATGTGAGTGTTGCGAGAGGGGCATGTGAGTGTTGCGAGAGGGGCATGTGAGTGTTGCGAGAGGGGCATGTGAGTGTTGCGAGAGGGGCATGTGAGTGTTGCGAGAGGGGCATGTGAGTGTTGCGAGAGGGGCATGTGAGTGTTGCGAGAGGGGCATGTGAGTGTTGCGAGAGGGGCATGTGAGTGTTGCGAGAGGGGCATGTGAGTGTTGCGAGAGGGGCATGTGAGTGTTGCGAGAGGGGCATGTGAGTGTTGCGAGAGGGGCATGTGAGTGTTGCGAGAGGGGCATGTGAGTGTTGCGAGAGGGGCATGTGAGTATTGCGAGAGGGGCATGTGAGTGTTGCGAGAGGGCATGTGAGTGTTGCGAGAGGGGCATGTGAGTGTTGCGAGAGGGGCATGTGAGTGTTGCGAGAGGGGCATGTGAGTGTTGCGAGAGGGGCATGTGAGTGTTGCGAGAGGGGCATGTGAGTGTTGCACTTGGAGCATGTGAGTGTTGCGAGAGGGGCATGTGAGTGTTGCACTTGGAGCATGTGAGTGTTGCGAGAGGGGCATGTGAGTGTTGCACTTGGAGCATGTGAGTGTTGCGAGAGGGGCATGTGAGTGTTGCGAGAGGGGCATGTGAGTGTTGCGAGAGGGGCATGTGAGTGTTGCGAGAGGGGCATGTGAGTGTTGCGAGAGGGGCATGTGAGTGTTGCGAGAGGGGCATGTGAGTGTTGCGAGAGGGGCATGTGAGTGTTGCACTTGGAGCATGTGAGTGTTGCGAGAGGGGCATGTGAGTGTTGCACTTGGAGCATGTGAGTGTTGCGAGAGGGGCATGTGAGTGTTGCGAGAGGGGCATGTGAGTGTTGCGAGAGGGGCATGTGAGTGTTGCGAGAGGGGCATGTGAGTGTTGCGAGAGGGGCATGTGAGTGTTGCGAGAGGGGCATGTGAGTGTTGCACATGGAGCATGTGAGTGTTGCGAGAGGGGCATGTGAGTGTTGCACTTGGAGCATGTGAGTGTTGCGATGAGGGGCATGTGAGTGTTGCACTTGGAGCATGTGAGTGTTGCGAGAGGAGCATGTGAGTGTTGCGAGAGGGGCATGTGAGTGTTGCGAGAGGGGCATGTGAGTGTTGCGAGAGGGGCATGTGAGTGTTGCGAGAGGGGCATGTGAGTGTTGCACATGGAGCATGTGAGTGTTGCGAGAGGGGCATGTGAGTGTTGCACTTGGAGCATGTGAGTGTTGCGAGAGGGGCATGTGAGTGTTGCACTTGGAGCATGTGAGTGTTGCGAGAGGGGCATGTGAGTGTTGCGAGAGGGGCATGTGAGTGTTGCGAGAGGGGCATGTGAGTGTTGCGAGAGGGGCATGTGAGTGTTGCACTTGGAGCATGTGAGTGTTGCGAGAGGGGCATGTGAGTGTTGCGAGAGGGGCATGTGAGTGTTGCGAGAGGGGCATGTGAGTGTTGCGAGAGGGGCATGTGAGTGTTGCGAGAGGGGCATGTGAGTGTTGCGAGAGGGGCATGTGAGTGTTGCGAGAGGGGCATGTGAGTGTTGCGAGAGGGGCATGTGAGTGTTGCGAGAGGGGCATGTGAGTGTTGCGAGAGGGGCATGTGAGTGTTGCGAGAGGGGCATGTGAGTGTTGCGAGAGGGGCATGTGAGTGTTGCGAGAGGGGCATGTGAGTGTTGCACATGGAGCATGTGAGTGTTGCGAGAGGGGCATGTGAGTGTTGCACTTGGAGCATGTGAGTGTTGCGAGAGGGGCATGTGAGTGTTGCACTTGGAGCATGTGAGTGTTGCGAGAGGGGCATGTGAGTGTTGCACTTGGAGCATGTGAGTGTTGCACTTGGAGCATGTGAGTGTTGCACTTGGAGCATGTGAGTGTTGCACTTGGAGCATGTGAGTGTTGCGAGAGGGGCATGTGAGTGTTGCACTTGGAGCATGTGAGTGTTGCGAGAGGGGCATGTGAGTGTTGCACTTGGAGCATGTGAGTGTTGCGAGGGGGCATGTGAGTGTTGCACTTGGAGCATGTGAGTGTTGCACTTGGAGCATGTGAGTGTTGCACTTGGAGCATGTGAGTGTTGCACTTGGAGCATGTGAGTGTTGCACTTGGAGCATGTGAGTGTTGCACTTGGAGCATGTGAGTGTTGCACTTGGAGCATGTGAGTGTTGCACTTGGAGCATGTGAGTGTTGCACTTGGAGCATGTGAGTGTTGCACTTGGAGCATGTGAGTGTTGCACTTGGAGCATGTGAGTGTTGCACTTGGAGCATGTGAGTGTTGCACTTGGAGCATGTGAGTGTTGCACTTGGAGCATGTGAGTGTTGCACTTGGAGCATGTGAGTGTTGCACTTGGAGCATGTGAGTGTTGCACTTGGAGCATGTGAGTGTTGCACTTGGAGCATGTGAGTGTTGCACTTGGAGCATGTGAGTGTTGCACTTGGAGCATGTGAGTGTTGCACTTGGAGCATGTGAGTGTTGCACTTGGAGCATGTGAGTGTTGCACTTGGAGCATGTGAGTGTTGCACTTGGAGCATGTGAGTGTTGCACTTGGAGGCATGTGAGTGTTGCACTTGGAGCATGTGAGTGTTGCACTTGGAGCATGTGAGTGTTGCACTTGGAGCATGTGAGTGTTGCACTTGGAGCATGTGAGTGTTGCACTTGGAGCATGTGAGTGTTGCACTTGGAGCATGTGAGTGTTGCACTTGGAGCATGTGAGTGTTGCACTTGGAGCATGTGAGTGTTGCACTTGGAGCATGTGAGTGTTGCACTTGGAGCATGTGAGTGTTGCACTTGGAGCATGTGAGTGTTGCACTTGGAGCATGTGAGTGTTGCACTTGGAGCATGTGAGTGTTGCACTTGGAGCATGTGAGTGTTGCACTTGGAGCATGTGAGTGTTGCACTTGGAGCATGTGAGTGTTGCACTTGGAGCATGTGAGTGTTGCACTTGGAGCATGTGAGTGTTGCACTTGGAGCATGTGAGTGTTGCACTTGGAGCATGTGAGTGTTGCACTTGGAGCATGTGAGTGTTGCACTTGGAGCATGTGAGTGTTGCACTTGGAGCATGTGAGTGTTGCACTTGGAGCATGTGAGTGTTGCACTTGGAGCATGTGAGTGTTGCACTTGGAGCATGTGAGTGTTGCACTTGGAGCATGTGAGTGTTGCACTTGGAGCATGTGAGTGTTGCACTTGGAGCATGTGAGTGTTGCACTTGGAGCATGTGAGTGTTGCACTTGGAGCATGTGAGTGTTGCACTTGGAGCATGTGAGTGTTGCACTTGGAGCATGTGAGTGTTGCACTTGGAGCATGTGAGTGTTGCACTTGGAGCATGTGAGTGTTGCACTTGGAGCATGTGAGTGTTGCACTTGGAGCATGTGAGTGTTGCACTTGGAGCATGTGAGTGTTGCACTTGGAGCATGTGAGTGTTGCACTTGGAGCATGTGAGTGTTGCACTTGGAGCATGTGAGTGTTGCACTTGGAGCATGTGAGTGTTGCACTTGGAGCATGTGAGTGTTGCACTTGGAGCATGTGAGTGTTGCACTTGGAGCATGTGAGTGTTGCACTTGGAGCATGTGAGTGTTGCACTTGGAGCATGTGAGTGTTGCACTTGGAGCATGTGAGTGTTGCACTTGGAGCATGTGAGTGTTGCACTTGGAGCATGTGAGTGTTGCACTTGGAGCATGTGAGTGTTGCACTTGGAGCATGTGAGTGTTGCACTTGGAGCATGTGAGTGTTGCACTTGGAGCATGTGAGTGTTGCACTTGGAGCATGTGAGTGTTGCACTTGGAGCATGTGAGTGTTGCACTTGGAGCATGTGAGTGTTGCACTTGGAGCATGTGAGTGTTGCACTTGGAGCATGTGAGTGTTGCACTTGGAGCATGTGAGTGTTGCACTTGGAGCATGTGAGTGTTGCACTTGGAGCATGTGAGTGTTGCACTTGGAGCATGTGAGTGTTGCACTTGGAGCATGTGAGTGTTGCACTTGGAGCATGTGAGTGTTGCACTTGGAGCATGTGAGTGTTGCACTTGGAGCATGTGAGTGTTGCACTTGGAGCATGTGAGTGTTGCACTTGGAGCATGTGAGTGTTGCACTTGGAGCATGTGAGTGTTGCACTTGGAGCATGTGAGTGTTGCACTTGGAGCATGTGAGTGTTGCACTTGGAGCATGTGAGTGTTGCACTTGGAGCATGTGAGTGTTGCACTTGGAGCATGTGAGTGTTGCACTTGGAGCATGTGAGTGTTGCACTTGGAGCATGTGAGTGTTGCACTTGGAGCATGTGAGTGTTGCACTTGGAGCATGTGAGTGTTGCACTTGGAGCATGTGAGTGTTGCACTTGGAGCATGTGAGTGTTGCACTTGGAGCATGTGAGTGTTGCACTTGGAGCATGTGAGTGTTGCACTTGGAGCATGTGAGTGTTGCACTTGGAGCATGTGAGTGTTGCACTTGGAGCATGTGAGTGTTGCACTTGGAGCATGTGAGTGTTGCACTTGGAGCATGTGAGTGTTGCACTTGGAGCATGTGAGTGTTGCACTTGGAGCATGTGAGTGTTGCACTTGGAGCATGTGAGTGTTGCACTTGGAGCATGTGAGTGTTGCACTTGGAGCATGTGAGTGTTGCACTTGGAGCATGTGAGTGTTGCACTTGGAGCATGTGAGTGTTGCACTTGGAGCATGTGAGTGTTGCACTTGGAGCATGTGAGTGTTGCACTTGGAGCATGTGAGTGTTGCACTTGGAGCATGTGAGTGTTGCACTTGGAGCATGTGAGTGTTGCACTTGGAGCATGTGAGTGTTGCACTTGGAGCATGTGAGTGTTGCACTTGGAGCATGTGAGTGTTGCACTTGGAGCATGTGAGTGTTGCACTTGGAGCATGTGAGTGTTGCACTTGGAGCATGTGAGTGTTGCACTTGGAGCATGTGAGTGTTGCACTTGGAGCATGTGAGTGTTGCACTTGGAGCATGTGAGTGTTGCACTTGGAGCATGTGAGTGTTGCACTTGGAGCATGTGAGTGTTGCACTTGGAGCATGTGAGTGTTGCACTTGGAGCATGTGAGTGTTGCACTTGGAGCATGTGAGTGTTGCACTTGGAGCATGTGAGTGTTGCACTTGGAGCATGTGAGTGTTGCACTTGGAGCATGTGAGTGTTGCACTTGGAGCATGTGAGTGTTGCACTTGGAGCATGTGAGTGTTGCACTTGGAGCATGTGAGTGTTGCACTTGGAGCATGTGAGTGTTGCACTTGGAGCATGTGAGTGTTGCACTTGGAGCATGTGAGTGTTGCACTTGGAGCATGTGAGTGTTGCACTTGGAGCATGTGAGTGTTGCACTTGGAGCATGTGAGTGTTGCACTTGGAGCATGTGAGTGTTGCACTTGGAGCATGTGAGTGTTGCACTTGGAGCATGTGAGTGTTGCACTTGGAGCATGTGAGTGTTGCACTTGGAGCATGTGAGTGTTGCACTTGGAGCATGTGAGTGTTGCACTTGGAGCATGTGAGTGTTGCACTTGGAGCATGTGAGTGTTGCACTTGGAGCATGTGAGTGTTGCACTTGGAGCATGTGAGTGTTGCACTTGGAGCATGTGAGTGTTGCACTTGGAGCATGTGAGTGTTGCACTTGGAGCATGTGAGTGTTGCACTTGGAGCATGTGAGTGTTGCACTTGGAGCATGTGAGTGTTGCACTTGGAGCATGTGAGTGTTGCACTTGGAGCATGTGAGTGTTGCACTTGGAGCATGTGAGTGTTGCACTTGGAGCATGTGAGTGTTGCACTTGGAGCATGTGAGTGTTGCACTTGGAGCATGTGAGTGTTGCACTTGGAGCATGTGAGTGTTGCACTTGGAGCATGTGAGTGTTGCACTTGGAGCATGTGAGTGTTGCACTTGGAGCATGTGAGTGTTGCACTTGGAGCATGTGAGTGTTGCACTTGGAGCATGTGAGTGTTGCACTTGGAGCATGTGAGTGTTGCACTTGGAGCATGTGAGTGTTGCACTTGGAGCATGTGAGTGTTGCACTTGGAGCATGTGAGTGTTGCACTTGGAGCATGTGAGTGTTGCACTTGGAGCATGTGAGTGTTGCACTTGGAGCATGTGAGTGTTGCACTTGGAGCATGTGAGTGTTGCACTTGGAGCATGTGAGTGTTGCACTTGGAGCATGTGAGTGTTGCACTTGGAGCATGTGAGTGTTGCACTTGGAGCATGTGAGTGTTGCACTTGGAGCATGTGAGTGTTGCACTTGGAGCATGTGAGTGTTGCACTTGGAGCATGTGAGTGTTGCACTTGGAGCATGTGAGTGTTGCACTTGGAGCATTTGCCTGAGCATGTGAGTGTTGCACTTGGAGCATGCCCCACTCTCTTTCACACATGAGGGTCTTCCCTCATTACGCCCTTCCACCGCTCACCACCCCACTTATTCCTCCACCCACCCCTTTACTTACCATCCCCATTCGCTCAGCACCAATTGCCCTCCCCCTCACCCATATGCCCACTACTTTCCCTTTGTTTCCCCTCCCCTTTCCCACTACTTTCTCTTTGTTTCTCACTAACCATCCGCATACCAGGTCCCTTCCCCTTTCCCCCTTCGCATGCTACCTGTGCACTCTTCCTCTGCACCCTTGTGCGTTTCTCCCACCCCTCTGCTATTTTTCCACCCCTGTGCCAGCCACCACCACAGGCCCTTCCTGTCTCCTCAACAGCAACAACCCTGCCCCGTCACCCCCGCTTTCACAACATAGAGCCTTTCCCGTGTCCCCTTCCTCATTTTTTCTCCTCTCTGCTCTTCTCCTCCCACCCTTGTTGCTGCCACCACAGGCTCTTCCTGTCTCCTCGACAGCAGCCAACCCCC